CATCCATCCCTGCCAAGCTGATAACAAGAGAGACCACTAGGTTTGGAGCTAGAAGCCCTGGGTTCAAATTCTGGACCTGCTACTTATTCCGTGAGTGACTCTGGGCAGATCATTCAGCTCCTCTGGATTTTATGGGAACATAGCTCTAGGCTTAGGCCTGCAGGCCACAGAGCTGGGGGGGGGGCTTCCAGAGTGCATCCAGTCCTACTCCCTCTTGACAGGTGAGGAAACTGAGGTTCGGGATGCGGACTGACTTGCCCTACCTCACAGAAGCAGTGTCAGAAGCAGGACTGGAGTCTAGATCCGCCGACTTCGTATTTCTCATTTGTGAATGGACGGGGTTGGATGAGATGATGCCTCTCAGGTTTGCATTCTGTGAACCTGATGATTTGAACTTGATTTCTCTCCAGGAGAGATTTCTCACGAAAGAGGTAGCTAGGTGGTACAGTAGACAAAGCCCTGGACCTGGAGTCAGGATGACCCGAGTTCAAATCTGGCCTCAGATACTTTTGAGTTGTGTAACTTTGGTGAAGTCACTTTTTGCCTCAGTTTCCTCAACTGTAAAATGAGGATGACAATAGCACCTACCTATTTCTCAGGGTTGTTGTGTGAATTAAATAAGATAAAATTTGTAAAGGTCTTAGTAAAGTGCCTGGCACATGACAGTTGCTTAACAAATATTTGTTTCCTTCATTCCTAATCCAAAACCCTTTAGTTTGAGAGTGTATAAGGGGGAACGGTGCAGGGGAAGTGGGGGGTGTAGAATGACGACAGGGGATTGAGAGGAATAAGACTTGACCTAGATGACTTTTGAGTGTTTCCTCTTAGCACAATGTCATAAGATCCTAGAATTAGGGCTGGAAGGGACCTTAGATGACATCTAGTCCAATGCCCTCAGTTTTACAATTGAGGAAACAGAGGCCCAGAGAAATTAATGACTTGTCAGAGTCACACAGTAAAGGGGGTAGGATTTGGACCCCAGTTTTCTGACTCCAGATTCGGTGCTCTATTCATGTTGCCCCTCATCTTCCAATACCAGCTGAACCTCCACTCAGGCTTGATCAGCTCGTGTGTCAACAGTGGACATGGCACCATTTCCCATGAATAGGCCATTGGGTCTCCAGAGTGTGTCTCTTGACCTCAATTCCAGCTTCCTATATCTACTTCTCTCTTGCCCAACCTCCCAACCCCCAGGGAATGTTGGTGAGAGCTGGAACCACCCATAGGGTAGAGCTCAAACTTCTGGTTCAGGTAGATATCCAAGTCCATAATTAAGTGTTCGGGGCAAGTAGAGTGCTCTAAACTTTGGTGCTAAAAATATTGCATTTAGCATGCAAATTATCCCTGGTGCCATGTTCCCTGACAGCTCCCCTGTATTTTCCTTGAAGTGGGAGCCCGTGGGCGCCTCCACCTTGTTTGTCATCAGCCCTGTTATTCTCAGGGTGGTGATAATATTCCTCTTCATGAGGTCGATTTATTGTTCATTTTTAAACCCAACTTTCTGACTGCAGCAGTAATAGCAAGCCTTGCTCCAGAAAAGGCCTGAGGCTATGTCAGCTTGGTCCTTGGTCAAGTGAGTAAGTTGGGTTGGACCAAGGGAGGAAGGATGGGAAGGTCCAGAATGAATAGCAGTTAAAATTGAGTCGACTTCCTGGCACAGGTCACCTAACCCACCTTCCAGCTTCTGTCTTGGCCCCAGACAGGGATTTCTGATGCTTCAGAGGAGATATGGATCAAGAGAGAAGTGACAGAGAATGAGAGAGAGCAGCCTGCTCCAGAGTCACTGCCTATGTGAGAAATTGCCACTGCTGGGGGAGTGGGGGGGTGGGGGAGGGCAAACGGAACCAGTAGAGACCCACGATGAGCGTGAATAAGGACAAGGGACCCGGAGTCTTGTTAGGGAGGAGCATGGACCCCTGGTTGAGGTCTGTAAAGGCAAAAGACAGAATGATGATGGCTTTCCCGTTTCTGCTATAGGTAGGACTAAACACGCTCTAGCCGGGGCCACAGAATCTGAGTCAGAAAGGACTTCAGAGGCCTTCAAGTACAAGTCATAACTGAATAAGAAGCCCTTCTACCATATACCCAACAAGTGGTCATTTAATCTTTGTTTAAAGACCACCAATGAGAGAGAACCCACTGCTTCCTCAGGTGTATCATTCCTCTTTCAAATAGCCCTAATCATTAGGAAGCTTTTCCTTATGTTAAGGCAATATTCTTCTTTCAAATGGCCCTTCATTGCTCCTAGTTCTGCCCTTTGGTGCCAAATTGAATTACTCTTCAAATTACACGATAGCTTTTTAAATACTTGGAGATAACTATCATGCACCCCTGAGCCTTCTCTCCTCCTGGTGAAACAGCACCAGCTCCTTCCACTGATGCCCATGTGGAATAATCTTGAAACTCTTCACCATCCTGGGTGCCCTCCTCTGGCTGTCACTCTCCAGCTTATCAGTCCTGCCTAAAATGGGTAGCCCAGAATTGAACACAGTATTGCAGACAGAGTGTGTCCAGGGCAGAGTACAGGAGAAGTATCAGCTCTCCGACCCTGGACTTCGTGTAATCTAAACGTGGATTACCTTTCTTCTCTGACAGGTCACTTTTGATTCTTACAGACTTTGAAGCTCTCTGCACCCTCCTGCTCTGAGGTCATTTTCCAGGTCCTTCTGAACTGGGAAATTCTGGGGTTCTATGATTCTGTGTATAATATGTTGCTTCACTTGAGCTCTTTGAAGGAAGGTAGTTTCACTTTATCTTTGTATCTCCATTACTTGGCAAAGTGTCTGGCACATAATAGGCCCACAGTAAATATTTATTGATGAGTAATTGATTGATCTAGCCATATTTCTTCTCTATTGTACTCACAAAGTTGATTTTAAAAATCTAAGTGCTGATCAGTCATGCCCAACTCTTTGTGATCCAAGTTGGGGTTTTCTTGGCAAAGATACTGGAGTAGTTTGCTATTTCCTTCTCCAGCTCATTTTACAGATGAGGAAACTAAGGCAAACAGGGTTAAGTGACTTGCCCAGGGTCACATAGCTAGTAAGTGTCTGAGACCAGATGTGAAATCATGAAGATGAGTCTTCCTGACTTCAGGCTGGGTATTCTATCCACTGTGCCACCTAGCAGCCCAAAATCTAAGTGTAAGTCTTAACTTTAATCCCTATTAAATTTCACGATATTTAGTTTGATCCAGTATTCTAGCCTACTATGATCTCTTTGGATGCTGGTTCCATTATATAACACGTTAGATTGCCCTCCCTGCTGCTCTGGGAGTGACACAAAGAGTGTAATATTTCTAGGGGGTTTGCATTAAAAAAAATTCTTCTGTCTCCCTCTTCCCCAACACATGACCTGGTTGTCTCATCTAGGGAATGATCCAGGCAAGGCCCCAGTGTCCTTGACCCCGAGAATTCACCACTCCCTATCCCCTTTTCTTTACACAGCCTGGTACGATCTCTCCTCCACACATAGACAATCCTCTTCAGACGCCACCAACTCCAGGTATGAAGAATAGGTACGCTAGGCTCTCTCCCTTGAACAGAAAGCATGTGACTCTGTCCCAAGGGGATTGGGCTGTTCCTGCGACGGAAAGAAGGCATGGAGGTCTGGTTACTTCTCACTGGGCTTATTCAAACACTCAGCCCAGTCCACCTGTTTCCATTAGATTTTATTGGATTGTCATATGTACAGTGATGGTACAGAAAGACTGGGGCCTGGGGACAGCCAGTGGCCTTGTAGACATAGGAGCCAAGTAACCTCCACAGCAGCTGCAGTTTCCCCTGGCCCCCACAGGGCCATGTCAGGCTAGGCCAGGCCAGGGTCAAGAGCCTGTTTAGCTGACGGCAGGTCTGAGGCAGAGGCAGGGAATGGGGAAGGGAAGGGACTAGCAGGGGAAGGAAAGAGGGAGAGAGGAAGAAGAGAAGAGAAAAGGAGGTGTGGCACACGGCTACCAACATTATCACCTCAAGTAACACTAGGATGCCCTTGCCACAGGCTGCCATCCCCTAACCTAGATGCTCTTACTCCAGCCACAGGCCAATATTCAGGTCCTAAGGTTTTGAGGCAGAATCTGTAATCACTTATTGGGATGCTAGACCATGGAGTCTCTCAGAAAGTAACCAAAGTTTCATAGCCCATCTCTCTTTCCCCCTTGTGCTTAAGGGGCCCGTGGGCTGCCCAGCTCAATGCACAAAGCCAGCATTAGTTACAGTTAGTCCTTCAGATAGCAGCCACTAGATAGGAAGCTGGAGGGTACATAGGGAGGAGCCCCTAGACCACTACTCACTGCCATGCAAAGCAGCATCTTGGAGAAGGATTGACTTTTTTTTTCTTTTTTCTTTTTTTGGGCTTGGGCTTTTCTGGGAGTCATCCTGTGGTCTAGTATTTACATAGGTCTCATGGTGCTGTGGGTGGGTGCCAGACTGAACCTCAGCTGTTGCTCCCACTGAACCTGACCTTGGCCAAACCCCTCCCACTCACTTCTCAAACCCCACCCAGGGCCAGGCAGGTGGAGAGTGAGCAGGGTCGAGAGACCTCAATTAGGTCTCCCAGCTGTGGCATCCATGCTGAGAGCCAGAGAGGAGATGGGGGCAGAAAATAGTGACAGCAGCTGGTGGCTTTGTCTTTGGTGCAAAGGGGAGGCATCCAGGAAGCAGAGGGGGGTGTCCCTGTGAGCAGACCCTGCTCTCCATATTAGCTGTCCCCCAGAGTCCCCAAGGGGTCCAGCCCTGGCAACAGGGCCAATAAGCATCTTGTTGCTCCAGAGGCTTAGACGCTGCAGTTGTGGGCAAAGCGTCTCTGTAACAAACCGCCTTGGATCCGCCCGGAGGGCCCCCCACCCTACCTACCAGGGAAGTGGGAGGGGAGTTGTTCAGGACCCATCAGACTCAGAAAGGAGGGCCGGTTCTCCCTCCCTTCATCACCATAGGCTCTTTGCTTGGCGACGTAAGTGGGCGAGTGGTCGGGTGGGCAGGCGGGTGGGCAGGCAGCTGGTGGGGTCAGCAATGGAGAATCTTCAGGAAGGCTTTGCGGAACTCGATGTTGAAGGTAGTATAAATGATGGGGTTGACAGCACTGTTGACATAGCCCAGCCACGTGAATGCACTGTACATGGCCGGTGGAATGTTGCAATCACAGTGCATATTCAAGATGTGGGTAATGAAGAACGGTAGCCAGCAGATGATGAACACTCCTGGAAGAGAGGGGAGCCAGTGAGGTGGGCGTGGGCAAGGCTGCCTAGCGTCCCACAGGATGCTCAATCCTGCCTCAGTCACCAAGAGCCCGACTTCCGGATGCCGGGCAAGGAAGAAATCATACTAAGAATCCAGATTTCTCCAGCAACTTGCGGTCACAAAGGCTTCCCTCACAATTCGAAGGAAGGCAGTACAAATATCATTACGCTCATTTTATAGACGAGGAAACAGGCTCTGTTAAATGACTTCCTCGGGCTCACACAGCAAACAAATGTGGGAACCTGAAATGGCACTTGGGGCATTTAGCTCCAGAATCCATTTTTCTTTCCACTATGCAAGGGTTCTTAGCCTTTTTTGCATCATGGATTCCTTGGGCAGTCTGGTGAAACCTGCAGCTCTTTCTCAGAATGTTTTTAAATGCACATAATAAAATACATAGGAGTGCAAGGTAAACCAATAGTATTGAACCGTTTTTATCAAAGTACTAAAAAAGAAAAACCCTAAATTTACATACCCCTTGAAATATCCATGGACCCTTTGAGGGTTTTTGGACCCGTGTTAAGAACACTGCCTCTGTGGAGTACAGGTGGTACAGGAGACTTAGATTATGATCCAGGCTCTACTACTAACTAGCTGTATGTCTTTGGTCAAGTCACCAAACTTTGTAGGCTTTAGTTTTCTCATCTATAAGAGAAGCAACTTGAGGGAAGAACACAGTTGGAGAGCCTGAAAGATCTTCAGAAGTCGTCTAATCCAACCCCTATCATTTGAGTTTTTAAAATTTATTTTTGCATTTAAACAAGTTTTATTGGTGCTTCCCCCCTCCCCACATCTAACACTGCCAACTACCCTATCTCCTGCAATTGTGACAAATGTGTACTCAAGCAAAACAAATCAACACATTGGCTACATCTGAGCTCCCTCATTTTACGGAGAAGGAAAGTGAGGTCCAAGGATGTTCAGTGATTTGCCCATGGTTACACAAGTGGTAAAATCTCACAAGATCTGAACCAACTTAGCACTCTTTGGTGAAAGGAAGGGTGACCTTGGAGACAGAAAGAAGTAAGTGAAGAAAGTCCTGAATCTGACACATTAATAGCCTTACTGCCCTGAACAACTCCTTTAAGATTAGAAGTTAAAAACAAGCTATAGATCTGCTTTGATGGAGTAATATTCCACACTGGGAGTTCCCCGTGCTTATGGATTCACATGTCCCAGATCCCACCTCTATCTTTCCCCTCCTAACCCCTCAATTTATGGGAACAATTGGTGAAGACCAAAATAAATCCTATCCGTGGTTATGTAAAATCACTCTGAAAAGTGCTCTAGGAATTCAAGATGTCATTATCTCTTAATGACAAAAAGAAGGTTAGCTCCTTGAGGACAAGGACTCTTAGAATTTATTTTTCCAAGCAATCAATAAGCACCAAACTTATTTCTGCCTTGTGTCTTTGCTTCTACTGTTGTTCCCCATGCCTGGGAGCCATGCAGTCTGCCCCCTCCCCCCACCTCCCACACCATTGCCCTCAGGTGATCAAAATCCTAGTTCTCCTTCAAGGCTTAGCTGAGTACCACTTTCTTCACAAAACCTTTCCTTGGTCTGTTCACATTCCTAGCTCACTTCAATTGCTCCTTTCCCTGGTCAATTGATTTTGGACAAAATGACATTATTTAAGCAAGCACTTTACTATAGAGTACTATAGACTCTCTTCTCTCTAATTATACTTTTGCTCACTAGTACTCAAGGCCCACTGTCTATGACTGGGGATTGATCAAGGGAACAGTGGGAAGGTAGGGGCAAAGGTGCTTCTGAAGGTAAGCCAATGGCTTCCACTCCAGGAAGGCTAAACAGTGTGGGATCATGGTAGTAGGAGGGCTCACTCACCAAGGACAATGGCCAGCATCTGGGTAGCTTTTTTCTCCTTCTGCTGGGAAAGTTTCCTCCGGCTCATGGTCTTGAGTGAAGTCCGGGTTTTGCCATTGGGCATAGACTGGATCTCAAAGACTTTGGCAGACCTGGGGTGACCTTTGGCATGCCCATTCTTCTCTGGCTTCATGGGGCTGTCAGGAGAAGAATGGACTCCCTGGGTGGAGGGGGTAGGGAGAGTGAGCTGATGGTGGCTTGGGGGGATGGGACTGTATTTGGTTTTCTCCGGTGGGCTGGTACTGGACATCATCTCCATCTCCATCTGTTCTGCACGGCGTGCAGCCTCCTGGACAAGGATCAAAAGTCACCAAAATAAAGCCAGGTAAGTACCCCAGTATATGGATACTCCTAAACACTCACTTGGCCCCACTGACTTTCACTCTAGTATTCCTGAACCCTGCACTCCCCAGATGATGTGACCCATGACTTTGCCCTGCCCACCTCAATCTTGGCCAAACTTGTCCCTGGTAGATATTTCCCCTTCTGCCCCAAAGAAAGAGAGGACAAAATCTATCACAATGAAAGTTTTTCACTTCACGCAGACAATGGAATAATCTAACCCAATTCTTGGTTCTTTCCCAAAGTTCACAAAAGATCATTCCTTTCATTCTTCTAGGAAGTTTTCCTGGATTGAGGGGATTCTAGGCCTAGTAATAGCTACTGCCAGCCCCAAACACACATCTCTTTCCCCCTATCCCACTCCCCAAAACCCACTTGTATTTAGGTTTGTATGCCATCAAGGGCATATCCGAAAGAAAAAAGGTGCTGGGCCAATCCCATAGCAAGGATCACAGATGGACAGCTCAGGTGTTGACTGGTATCCAAGAAATATCCAAGTACCTAAAATGAGGCCTCTAGCACATTAGGTAGAACCTTTCTGGAGGATAAGAATCATTCAGGATGAGGAAGAGCAGATGGACAGTGATCTGCCCTGGTGGAGGGAAGACCCCCCAATATCCATGTGGATGTGACCACGGATCCAATGCAGAAGTGTTAGGTAACTGCCTATGTTCATGCAGTCATCTGGGTACATGTGTGTATACACACATAAATGTACACATGTATACACACATACATATACATGCACACATACATCTATATATCTGTGTCTCTGTGTGTATGTGTTGGTGTGTGTATGTATGCATATATGTATATGATTGCACATTTGTATCCATGGGAAGGCACTGAGGAAGTGCAATGTATAAAGGTACAATTGATGTTTTTCACACTAGACACCTGTCACAACCTCTATGGCCAGCTAGAGACTGTAACTTTGACCTCCTGAGCTCCTATCTTTCCATCTTCCCTCTTCCTCATTGCCCTTAAACCTGGTACTCCTACTCACCTTGTCTTCCATTCCCTCCACCTCACCCTTTCCTTTCATCCTTTCACTCCTGCTCCTTACCTTCACAGTCACGTGACCATAGGATCAAGACTTAGAGAAGGAAGGGCCCTTGGGGGCCAGGAACTGGGGCCCACAGAAGTGCCATGACTTCTCTAAGGTCACATGCCATGTAGTAAGCAGTAGATGTGGGATTTCAAACCAGCGTCAACCCTATGGTAAAGAAGCTCAACTCTATGCTGTCTTCTCCCCTTGAATCCTTTGTCCCAGTGTCCCATCCACCAATCACCACTTGCCAAATCCTAAACCTGGGTTACTCACACCACTGGTCTTCTCCTTTATTTTCTCATGCTGCCCAACATTGCTGAAAAAAGTCATGCAACTGTGCTGAATGGGTGCACTACAATTTTTTAAATTTAATCTCCCAATGGACCAATAGATCAGCTAGAAGAGATCTTAGATATCATTGAGTTCAACCACCTTATTTTATAGATAAGGAGGGAACTGAGGCCCAGCATCACATCAATGATCATAATTGTCAGAACTGTGGTTCAAATTCAAGTCCTTTGACTTTAGATCATCTGAATCATTCTTCTATGCCATACTACTTAAATGGGTCTATATCACTCCCTAAGCAATTCAATTTTTCCCAGATTGATTCTATCACAGTTTTCATAGTAGTTGTTCTAAAACTTCTCTTCTCAAGCCCCCTACAACACAACACCTCTTTGTCCTTTGTGAAAGCTCATGTTAAGATGAGGAAAGCATAGGTCCTTGACCTTGACCCTGAGTTCCCCATAAATGGGAGGCAGAGAGCCTCACTTCCTATTTTGCTGAGAAAATAGAAGCTATCCATTGTGAACCCATTTCCCTCTCTACTCTATACATCAAAATCCTTCCATATCATTCCTCCTTTTTCTCCTATTTTACTCTCATCTCTAGTGAACAATTGCTTCTTTTTGTCAAGGCTAACCCTTCTATTTGTGCTCTTAGTCCCATCCTCTCCCATCTCTTGCAGGAATTTTCCCCCTTGATCATTTTCTCTCATTCATTTTCAATCTCTCTTTATATAATCGCTCCTTTCCATCCCTTTCAAACACACTCAAGTCCCCTTTGCTAAAAAAGACAAAACCAAAAATCTTTATGTAACCCTGCCGCTCCTTAGATCTCCTTTCTCTTTCAAGGCCAAAAAAAATCCACCAAAACTGTCTATACTCATTGCCTTCACTTCATCACCTTACATTCACCTCTCATTCCATTGCAATCTAGCACCTGACTCCACCACTCAAGTAAAACTGACTCTTTCCCCTCCCTGTCCCACATCCTCCATTCAATCAGTTGTTAGGGCATGCCAGTTTTACCTCCATAACATCCCTCATGTTAGTCCTCTTCTCTCTATTCACACAGCCTCTAACCTAGTTCAGGTCCTTATCACTTCTCAACCTTTTTATTTCAATAGACCTCTAATGGAACTCTGTTTCCCGGTGTCCTCTTTGAACCATTCTGCACAGAGCTGACAAATTAATATTCCTAAGATAAGCATTTGACTAAATTGCTCCCCTGCTCAAAGATCTTAAATATCCCCTGTTTGTCCCTAGGATAAAATACAAAGCATTTCCCAGTCTAGCTCACACCTCCCTTTTCAGACTTATCTCCTGCTAAACTCTCAATTATAGCAAAACTAACCTACTAGATATGCCCTGATTTCAACATTCTGTCTCCTTCCTCAGTACCTTTGCCGGTGCCTGGAGTTCATTCCCTCTTTACCTTTGCCCCTTAGAATCCTTGGGTTCCTTCCTTCAACCAATTAAATAAGCAGTTAGTAAGTGCTTACTTTGTTCCAGGGATGGTGCTAGGAACTGACAGGAAATAAATGCAAAAGTGAGATAGCCCCTGTCCTCATGGAGCTTGCATTCCATTAGGAGGACACAACATCTTCACAGATGAGTAAATATTGGATATATGCTAAATATATGCAAAGTGATTTCGGAAGGGGATGGGAAGAGGGATTCCTGGGAGAATCAGGAGGGAGACAGCATTTGATCTGAACCTTGAAAGGATTGAGGGGTTCCAAGGACAGAAGGCATTCAAAGTAAGGGGGACAGTCAGTGAAAGGGTACAGGGACAAAAGATGCAGCAAATAGGCCAGTTTGACTGAAGTAGAGTATTTGTGAAGAGTAATCAGCCTGGAAAGATAAACTGGAACCAGATTATAAAAGGCTATAAATGCCAAACAGAGGAGTTTCTAATTTATCCGAATGACAGTAAGATAAATGAAACTTCCTGAACAGGAGAGTGACATGCTCATACCTGAGATTTAGAAAAACAATTTTGGCATCTGTGTGAAGGATGGATGAGAGAGAGGAGACACTGAAAGCAGGGGGACCAATTAAGAGAATATTATATTAGTCTAGGCAAGATGTGATGGGGGCCTGAACTAGGATGACTGGTGTGAGATGGGATTGATGCAAGACATGTTGAAGAAGATACAAAGCTGGGAAGGATAACTAACACACTGAATGACAGAATCAGGATCCAAAAAGGTTCTGACAAGCAAGAGCATTAGGTTGAATCTAATAAGATAAAATTTGATAGGGATAATCATTAAGTCTTGCACTGGGATTCAAAAAAATCACCCTCCCAGGTATAGGATGGGATAGGCATGGTTAAATAGCTTTTTCATCTGAAAAAAGCTGGGGCAGGCTGCAGACTAAATAAGAATCAGCAACGTTAGGGGGTTTGGATGAAAACTCATGTGGTATGGGGCTGCATTAAGAAAGACAGAACTCCCAGAAATGTGGGGGTGATCACCCCTGGATTCTGCCTCACTCAGAGTTTTTATTTATTCTATTCTGAACATAAGAAACAAAACAAACATTTCCATAACATAATAGAATAGAAAAAAAAAAGATGATTACGCACGAAACTGAAAATCTATTATGTCCAACTTGCTATTCTTTTAAAATATGTAATAAAGTTATCATGTAACCTATGAAGGAAAACACTATTTGCATCCAGAGAAAGAACTGATAAATAGAAGTATGTATAGAATGACTTTACATATATATATAATATATATATATATATACATGTATATATGTATTTGTGTCTATGGTAGTCATCTCTTGGGTGGGGGTTGGGGGGGAAGGGAGGCAAAAAAAGGAAAACCCACAACTAGAATTTTAAGGACTGTGATTAGCTGGAGAGCATCCAGAGGACAGCAACTCATCCTCCCATGTCATGCCCTTCTCTGGATACTTTCCAGCTGATCATTGTCCTTCTTAAACTATGCTGCCAAGAACTGAATGCATATTCCAGCTAAAATCTGATCAGGGCAGAGTACACTGTGATGATCACCTCTATATTCCTGGGGGCTCTTTCTCTCTTTCTTAATGTAGCCCTGAATCACATGAGTTTTCTTGCTGATACAACATTGTGTTGGCTAGAGAAGATAGAACTCTTCAGGCCAGGACATTTGTCTTCAAGTATTTGAAGGGTTGTCATGTGAAAAAAAAAGATAGGATTTGTTCTTTTTGGTCCCAAAGCGCAGAATTAGGAGCAGGTAGAAGTTGCAAAGAGATGAATTTAGGATTGATATCAAGAAAAACTTCTTAACAATGAATGCTGTCCAAAAGTGGCATGGTCTGCCTTGAGAGATGGGGTCCCATCACTGAAGGTTTTTCAGTAGGGGCTAGATGACCACTAGAGAGATATATCAGAGTAGGAATTCCTTTTAGGTACGTGTTGGACTAAAAAAATGCCCAAGTCCTTTCTAGCTCTCAAATTCTGTAATTTTGTAACTCTAAACTAAATACTAAAACAATATTTGGCAACTGATTAAATATGAGAGAGGGAATAAAGACAGTGAGGGGTAGAGAATGACTCTTAGGTTGTGAAGTGTGAATGATTTAGTACAGTATTTGGCACATAGTAGGCCCTTAATAATTATATATTGACTGTTTGGGAGGAACGATAACAATTTAGGTTTTAAATATGTTGAGTTTGAGATAATTATAGGCTATCCAGGTGGAAACCTGATTCAGAACTGGAGCTCAGGAGAGAGATGGAGCTTGGATTGGGAATTGAATTGGGAGTCATCTGCATAGGGATCATAGTTGAAACTGATGCTGATGAGATCACCAAGACTGAGAAAAGAAAGAGAAGAATGAGCCCAGGATAGAGATAAATAAGGCTTACCTCAGCTACTGCCTTTGATGGAAAGCCTTTCCTGACCCTTCTATTTCTTAATCTCTCTCTCCCTCTCCTTCTCTCTCTCTCTCTCTCTCTCTCTCTCTCTCTCTCTCTCTCTCTCTCTCTTTCTCTCTCTCTCTCTCTCCCCCTCTCCTTCTCTCTCTCTTCTAAAATAATTCCTTACTATTTTTACTAGCTGTGTACATGATGTATCCCCACTACTCCAAGTAGAATATAAACTTCCTGATGTCAAGGATATTTTTATTTTTTTCTGTGTAGTCCCAGGGCCTAATACAATGTCTGGAAAATCATAGACACTCTCTAAATGTTTGTCACACTAAGTTGAATTAACTTGCAAGGAGTCCCTTAGGGCAACTAATAACAATAATATTAGCTGACATAGCTTTTTGAGGTGTGTACCATGCTTTCCTCACAACTTTGTGAGGTTGCTACTATAAATAAATATTATGCCTGTCTTGCAGATTAGGAAACTGAGGCTCAGAGATACTAAGTGGCTTGCTCAGAGTCATACGGTTAACAAATATTACGAGGATCAAATGAGGTGATGTATGCAAAGGGTGTTGCAAAGCAACATGTAAATTTGAGCTATGGAATGTGCTCATCTGGAATGAGAAAATGTGTGCTTTTTTCCATCAGCAGCTGCTGCCACAAACACCTGCAGGCTCTGGCTGACCTCACGAAGGACAGACCCAGTTCTTTTTTCCTGTCGATAATGTTGGTGGGCCTCCTTCTAGAAACCCAAACTCTCCTTGTGGACAGATCCAGGGGGTCCCTGATCCCACAGCCATAGATGTAAAGCTAGAAGGGACCTCAGAGGACACCCGGTCTAACCCCCTTATTTTACAAAGGAGGAAAGTGAGGCTCGGAGAGGTTGTGATTTGCCCACGACTACAAAGGTACCAAGTGAGAAAGCCAGGATTTGAACCGAGGCCCTTTGATTCTAGGTCCTGTGATCTTTCCACAGTACCATGCTGCCTCTTGGTACAGATTCACAAAATCACAAGGTTGAAACAAACCATCTAGGGCAACCCCATACCTGACAAAGAGTTTCCCTACAACTTACCAAAGAAGTGATCCAAAAGGGGAAGGGGCCACCAAGGGGGGGGGGGGTCTCCCTCCTTGGAGGTCTTCAAGCAGAGGCTGGAAGGCGACTAATAGGGAAGTTTGTATAAGGGACTCCCTCTGGGTGTGAGTTGGACTGGATGGCTGCTAAAGTCTCTTCCAACCCTCTAGTTCTGTGATTCTGGTCATCCAGGCTTTGCCTGAAGATCGTAGGTAAAGTGGGTAACTACTGCTTTTAGAAATTGCCTATTCTTCTTTTGGATAGGTCTAATTTTTGAGAAATTTTGTTGCATGATTTGTACTTGTATCCCCAGCACCTACCACCAGTTATATAGTAGATGCTTAGTAAATACTTGATTGATTCCTTGGTTATACCCCAATGATTCTGCTACTTTTTTTCTTTTTTTCCCAACTCCCACCAATTATTCCAAGTTCTGCTCCTTCAGGCCAAACTGAGCAAATCTAATCCCCCTGTTGCATGACAACCCTTCCAATACCTAGCTGGTGTTTTCCTGAACCTTCTCACCTTTCGGCTAAACATCCCCAGTTTCTTTGACTGATCCACATTAGCATGACCTGTCAGAGTGTCTCTACCTCATAGGGTTGTCAAGAGGATCCACTGAGATAATGCATTTTGAACACCTTGTGAACCTCAGACACCCCACTTCTCTAAATTTGCATTAACTCTAAGATTGTATTTACTTTTTTGGTGTGTCTTATCACACTGTTGACTCATTTGAAGTCCACTAAAATACCCCAGACTTTTTAAAAATGATCTGCAAATGAGTCAGCAGTGTGATAAGACAGGCAAAAAAAAAAGGTAATGCAATCTTAGAGTTAATGTAAATTTAGGAAAGCGCAGTCTCTGAGGTTCGCAAAGTGATTTAAGTGCATTGTCTCATAGGATTCTCTTGACATCCCTATGAGGTAGATACTGCAAGTCATGCATAGTGGTGCCCGCTACGGTCCCCAATTTTGCATTTATGAAGTTGATTTCTTGAACATAAATGAAAAGCTTTACATTTATTCCCATTAAATTTCATCTTGGGGCAGCTAGGTGGCACAGTAGATAGAGCACCAGTCCTGGAGTCAGGAGGACCTGAGTTCAAATGCAGCCTCAGACACTGGACACTTACTAGCTGGGCAAGTCATTTAACCTTGATTACCTCTCCCCCTCCCCCCCCCAAAAAATCCAACTGATTCAATTCAGCCCAGGGCTGTAATGAGTCATCCAGTGTATTAGTTAACTCTCCCAAGTGTCATCTACACATTGGTAAGTGTGGCAACTATGCTTTTATTTAACTGTTGATAAAAATGGGAAACAGCATGGGACCAAGCACGGATCTCTGGGGCACTCTCCTGGAGACTTCCCTTCAAGTTGACAAGGGAATATTAATGACTGCTACTCTTTGGATGTGACCATTAGATTAGTTTGGAATCTATCCAATTACTCACCAGAGTAGCCCACATTGCTTTATCTTGTCCATAAGAATACCTTCCATAAGAAGTTAAAATCTCAGAAAACTCGGTCTGCAGCATCTCCCTGAATGCTCTAAGTATTGTTTGTAGGGGATCAGGAGGCAGAAATGTGGTGGGCAGAGGACAAAGGTCTCCTAGTTCAGGCTCACCCTACTGTGACCAGGTGGTGTTTGAGAATTTCTCATTTCTCTTGTGTGGTAGATGTCTTGGGGTGGCTGGGTGTCCTGGGGATTGGGGAGGGTGAGGCCTGACACTCTATCCTATAATACCTACCACTTTCCTCTTGTTCACTGGGAAACTCCCATTGGATTTCATGATGATGGTGCAGAGTTTCATATCATCAGGGTGAGCACACTTGTCCTGTGGGGAGAAAGCCAGGAGAGGTCATGGGATCCGTGGAGTAGGATAGGGGTGGAGCAGGTAGGTGAGGACAAAAGAAAAGTAGCTGGCAATTATGTAATGCCTTAAGGTTTGCAGAGAGCTTTCCATATATTATTTCATCTGACTTTATAGAAACCCTATCAAGAAGGAGCTAATGCTACCCCCTTTTTATAGATGTGGAAACAGCCTGAAAGAGGTTAAGTGACTTGCCTATTATCACACAGCTAGTGAGAGACTTCCTGACACCAAGGTGACACTCCATTCACTTTGCCACCTACCTGCCACAAAAGGGAGGCAGGGAGGCCTGATGGATGGGGAATCCAAGAGGAGGCGGTGGTCAGAGAAAGTAAAGGTAAGAGGGTATGGTTGGAAGAGATGGGAGTTAGAAGGATGAGATAGAAAAATAAGAGGTGGGGGAGAAAAGTAGTCAGAAAACAGAGATCAAAAGGAGGGAAGAGGAAAAGGTTTAGAATAGTGCTCTATATGTATTAGGTGACCCATAAACATTTGCTGAATTAAAATTTTAAAATATGCATATATATATATACATACATACATGCACATGTGTGTATGTATATATATATGTGTGTGTGTGTGTGTATACATATACGTGTATACACACACATAAACACCTACATGTAGAAAGGAGGCCAGAAGGGAGAAAGATGAAAGTTGCCAGAGAGGTCAGCCTTTTGAGGTAAGTAGGAAAAAGGGATAGTGGGCAGCCTAGAGGAAGTTGTGTATATGTGTGGGGGATGGTAGATCAGAGAAAAGGGAGATAGGTTGGATAGGGAGAGGTTTACAGGAAGTAGGAATCAGAGGAAGGGAAGGTTGAGGCAGGAACAGGTAAGGGGTAAGGAGATTGAAAGGCAGAAAGGTGGTGGGGTTTGGGGGAAAGAGCAAAGAGATAAGTGGAAGTAAAGGGGACAAGGAGAATCTTCAGAAGACACAAAGGACCTAGGGTGAGGAATAAGAGGACCATTCTAAGAACAAAACAATCATATACACACTCTTCAGGGATAGAGTCAGGTGGATTAAAAGTCTGATAACCTGGCTCTAGAATCATAGGTTCATAGATTTAGAGCTAGGAGGGACTTTGGTGATCCCTCATTTACAGACGGAGAAACTGAGGCCCAGAGAAGTTAATTGTTCTGCACATCAGTCTTGAACATAGTCATAACCGTACTGAGACATTATTCCTCAGCTACAAGTCTATCCTTCCCCTTAATCGCTTCTGTATGTGTCCTATAACTATTCCCAATGTCCTATTTAACATCATATTCCTGCATATTGGATTCACTCCTAGGCAAGGTCCCCCACAACCCTCCAGGTCAGGCTTGGCCATCTTTGCCTGCCACGGTTTGGGCTCTTGAGTGACCAAGACTGTCTACAGCATTTTACATGGCCCTAGACAGAAAATGGGCCTAGGACTGGAAGGAGGGGAGCTTAGGTGGGTGAGCTGGCACTAAGGCCTGGTGGAGTGGGATGGAGCAAGGAAATGCTGATGGAGAAAAAACCTTGAGTGGGGCCTTTGCATCGGACTCCAGCCCCCGGCTGCTGCGCTTGGTATTGACACGTTTCCGGCGCTTTCGAAGGACGATGTAGATCTGAACATAGACGAGCAAGGTAACGATGAAGGGCACGTAGAAAGAGACGATGGAGGAGTAGACAACGAAGGCAGGATTGGCAATGACGCAGTCTTTCTGATCTGGGGGAAATGAAAGCAGACAGGATTGTTGGCTGGGCTCAATTTCCTCAGCCTGTCATTCAGAGCCTCTCCATAGTCCATCTGCACTCGACCTTCTCTCCCACTGCTCTCCAATATAAATTTCCGGCAGCCACAGTTGACTTCTCACAGCTCCCCAACAGTTTATGGTCATTCCCCATCATTTGAAATTATTTCTTTGTTCCCTCTTCCTAACCAAATTTCTCCTGTCCTCAAGTCTCACCTCCTCCACAAAACCTTTCCTGATGATCCCAAGCCCCCCTTTAACCCTCTAGTCTCTGACCTCCATGAGCGCTCATAGGTAGTACTGAACATCAGCTCATCACAAGCAGGAATTGCTTATCCTTGAACTTATATTCCCAATGCCTGGCATATAATATAATAATAAATGCTTACTGATTGATAGATTGATTGAATGTTAAGTCCTTCCTTACTTAGTTAATACTTGGTCATGCCCTGCCTTGTTCACTAGTTGTCTCCTGTGAGTGAGAATCAAAGATCTGGGAAAGATCTCAGAGGCCAGTTGGCCCAACCCTGAATGGAGACCTGAATATGAATTCTCTGTATGGCATTCCAACAAGCCCTCACCCAGCCTCTACTTGAAGCCCTCTACTGAGGGGAAACCCACTGCCTCCCAGGACAGACAATTCTTCTGTGGGATAACTATAAATGTTAGAAATTGTTCCTTACATAGAAATTGAGATCTTCCCTCTCTGTAGTTTCACCCATCATCCCTTTATTCTGCTCTCTGAGGCTAACCAGGTAGCACAAATCTAATCTTTGACCTAACAGTCCTTCAGGTAGTCAAGGACAGATATCATGTCCCTCCCTAATCTGTCTCCAGACCAAATATCCCTAGTTCCTTCAACCAATTCTCCATAGCACAATCTCTGATTCCTTCACTGTTCTTGTCACCTTCCTTAAATAACCTTGTATCCATAATTAAGGCCCTCCAAGGCATGGAATATATCTTCCATTTCCATTATGTTCCCCACAACAACTACCATAGGTGTCTGGCATGCAATAAGTCTCAGTTATTATTTAGATGAGTGCCTTCTAGCTCCACAAGATTCTCTCTAGACCAAGGCCACAGCCCCATTATAAAAAGCTCCTGAGATAACAACTCACCTTATGGCATGTTAGGCAGACCATGTATACAGCATTCATTTGGGGCTGGGGACAGGGAGGGAGTTCAGACCTGTGACTCCATTAGCATGAGGAAGTCCAGGATTAGAAACTCCCTCCACTGATACAGACCAATAACTCCCCTGTAACTTAGAGTCTTAGTTGCTTGGGGAACCAAGAAGTTAAGTGACTGCCCATGGTCATTATAGCCAAGACAGTACATGTGCTGAAACTCCCCTCAAAGCACAGGTATCCCCCTGCTCAGCATCTGGAAGACATCTCCATCCCAATTGGTGCAGCAACTGGGTCTCCTAGGTGCACAGGAAGATATGGCTGGCTTTACCTGTGTTGTTGAGTCCGAAGAGCAGTGGGCAAGAGATGGCAAAGGATAGAACCCAGACAACGGTGATCATGACGGTAACGCGGCGCTTGGAGCTGTAGCGAGTATTGTAGAGCATTGGCATTGCTACTGCTGTGTACCTAAAGTGATCGAGGTAGGGTTGAGAGAGTTATTGAAGGAGTGAAGGGGGAGAAGGGGGAGAAGGGGAAAAAGAGAAGATTATCTAATATCTCCTAGCTTCTTGGAGTATTCACTTACCTATCCTTCAGGGCCTAGCTCATGCCTTTCCTTTTTCACAAGATGACTCCAGCCTATGATCGCATGATCCATGATGGACTCCCCCTTCCCCCAATAGAATGTAAGCTCCTTGAGGACAGAATTGTTTTATTTTTGTCTGTATCCTTACCCCTTAACATAATGCCTGTCATATATTAGGCACTCAATAATTGCTTAGCTGAGTTGAATCATTTGTTTGAATCTTCTGCAGACTATCTAACATAGTGTTCCATTCAGTCAACATTTATTATACACTTACTATATAGCTGGTACTGTCTGAGAATACAAAGAAAGGCAAAAACATGGTTCCTACCCTCAAGGAGCTCACACTTTAATGGGAGAGATGCCATACAGATGAGTAACCCCCTTAATTCCAGTGTCTTCCCTCATTAATTACTTGCTGCTTGTCCCATATATAGTTTACTCTATGTATATATGTATATGTGTATATATATATATATGTATATATTTGTTTGTGTGTAGTCTCTCCTATTAGAGTATAAGATCCTTGAAGGCAGGGACAATTTTTTACCTCTTTTTGTATCCACATATCTTAGCACAGTGCCTGGCACATAGTATGTACTTAATAAATGTTTATTGATTGATGGATGGAGGTACATACATCAAATATAAATAGAGTGTAAATGGAAGACAATTTCAGAGGGAATGCACTAGCAGAGGGAGCTACCAGGAAAGCTTCTTGTAGGAGAGAGAATTTGAATTTGTTCTTGAAGAAAGCAATGGAAGTCAGGAGGCAGAGGGGAGAGACATGGAGAACAGCCAGTAACAAAACTCCAAGTCAGAAGATGATATATCATGAGAGAGGAATGGCAGGAAGGCCCTTGTAGGCAGATCACCAACATCCTGGAGTACATGGGAGGCAATAAGTCTAAGAAGCCTGGAAAGGTAGAAAAGCACCACGTCATGCAGAGCTTTAAATGCCAATCAGAAGGTTTTATGTTTTATCCTGGAGGTAATAGGCAGCCACTGGAATTAGTTGAATCAGGGACTGTGTGACACAGTCTGCCCCACATTTTAGTAATGTTAGTCCAGCAACTGAGTGAAGATAGACTAGAGTGGGGAGAGACTTGAGGACGGGAGACCAAGCAGAAGGCTATTTATTGTCAATAGTTGTTTGTCCTTCATTCTCAAAGAGGACATGACATCAGGAAGATGATGCCATGACTTGCAAGTGAGTTGGATTTAAGTGAGGGAGGGCTGTGCAAAGTCAGCAGCCTCACTTTCTCCTCCAGAACTGGGTCCAGTGGCAAGATATAGATCAGGACAACTGGAGATGGCCCCATTGTCAATAGTCCAGGAGTGGGATGAGAAGGGCGTACACCAGGGCATTGGCTATTTGAGTGGAGAAAAGGGGTCACATACAAGAGATGTTGTGAAGGCCTATACCAAAATGAATACTTATCATTTAATTGATTCATATTTATTAATTATAGATTGATTGAAATAAGCTCTGGTCTCAGTCCCCCACCTTCCTACTGCATATGGTCCTAGCAAGGATCCTCAATCGACACTCCCTTCCTACTCGTCATGAGATTGGGTTGTTGCTCTAAGTGTTCCCAGAAACTCCATTAGTCTCCTCAGGGACCAAACTGCAAGGCCAGAAAATGAAGCCCCAAATTTCCCTTTCTCAATGAAGTCAAGGAAAGAATGAACTCCATTGGGTAAGAAAACAGCAGCATGCAGGGGAATGACTCATCTGTACCCTTCCCTCCTGTCACCTGATTTGGGCTCTCACCTGTCGATGCTGATGGCACAGAGGTTGAGGATGCTTGCGGTGCACATCATAACATCCAGGGTGACAAAGATATCACAGTGAATCCGACTGAATTTCCACTCTCCCACCACCTGGGAAGAGAACAAAGCTTTGGTTTCTTCTAATACGACTCCCAGAACTCAGTATAATATTAGAGTTATGTTCTAACTTGAGCAGAATATAGCAGGGCTATCATCTCCCTTGTTCTAGAGTACCTTATGCTTCTGTTAAAGTAGCCTGAGATCAAATTAAATTTTTTGGTTGCCATATCATACTATTGATGCATATGGAATTTACTGTCCACTCAGACCCTTAAATCTTTTTCCATTGTGCTTGTCTCTATCTCTTTTGGATCTGGACTCTGTTATCCATTGTTAACTGTCTCTCCCAACTTCATGTCATCTGCAGATTTGCTGGGCTCAACTTCAATCAAATAAGCATTTATTAAAGTACTTTGTGGGAAGGTAGGAGTCAGGAAGGAGTCAGGAAGACCTGAGTTCAAATCCATTCTCAGATACTAACTGTGTGACCCTGGGCAAGTCATTTAACCCTCTTTACCTCAGTTTTCTCATCTGTAAAATGAGCTGGAGAAGGAAATGACAAACCACTCCAGTATCTTCACCAAGATGGTGACCCCAAAATGGGGTCACAAAGAGTTGGACATGACTGAATAACAATAATGACATGTGTCAGGCACTGAAAATACAAAAACATAAATAAAAGGAGGGCCTCAGTCCCTCCTCTTAAGGAGGGACTTGCCATCAATATCTTTATCCAGGGGTGAGGAACCTTTGGTCTCAAGGCCACATGTGGCCTTCTAGGTCCTTGGGTGCGGCCTTTTGACTGAGTCCAAGTTTTACAGAACAAATTCTTTTATTAAGGGGATTTGTTCTGTGAAGTTTGGATTGAGTCAAAGGGCCACACTTGAGGGCCTAGAAGGCCACATGTGGCCTCAAGGCTGCACGTTCCCCACCCCTATCTTTATCCAAGGTCATGAATAAAAATATTAAACAGCAGAAGGCCAAGCACAAATCTGTGGAACACTTCAATGGAAACTCCCTTTTATGTCAATTATCCTTTGAATGTAGTCATTCAACCAGTTCTGAATCTAACTTTACTCCAGTCTAGCCCTTATCTCACCATCTCTTTCACACACCCGGTATGAAAGACTGTCAAATTCTTTGCCAAAATCACGTATGCTGTTCTATGTCATTCTCCTGATCTCTCAGTCTTACAAGCTATTGTGTCTGGCAATCAATGACCATAAATTTACACTGAGCACAGATATATATGGCATCCCTCATGTAATTCTATAAATATATGGTGACTAATTGAGTTTTTAGGAGGTAGACACATGTTTTCCTTAGCAACAGGCTCCAGGAACTCTCTAAACCACAGCTTTTCACGCTAAGTTGCTGGGTCTGAAGCTTCACCCCAGTAACGGTTTTTGACCCACCCATCCCCTATATCCTGTCCAGACTATGGCAGGGGAACATTGTAGACACAAGAGGCTCACAAGGTCTCTGGGAAGGTGGGCCAGCTGGCAAGTCTACCTTAGCAGAGACTCACAGACTGAACTCAGAATCAGAGCTAGGTGGGGCCAGATCTTCTGCTCACTGCACATGATGCCAGGAAAGTCACTTGTTAATGAAACGACTTTAGGATCTTAGGCTTAGACCTGGAAGGGGCCTTAGAGGCTTCCGCTTCCCCATATACTCTGCCCAGGAGAGTATAATTATGCTTTCAATTTTAATAAAGTAAAAAGAAAGGTCAAAGAAAGGGTATTCAGGGCCCTCAGCCACATAGGTCAAAGTAGCCCTAACACATACAGGGTAGTTGGGAATTTTGGATGTTGGCTCATAAGGCAGACAAGTTGTATGGTATATGGAGTGGTAGGCCTGGAGTCAGGAAGACCTGGATTCAAGTCCTGCCTCAAACACTTACTAGCTGTGTGACCCTGGGCAAGTCACGTAACCTCTGTCTGCCTCAGTTTCCCAATCTATAAAATGGAGATAATACTAGCATTCACTCCATGGACTTGTTGCAATGATCAAATAAGATAATATTTGCAAAGCACTTTGCAAGCCTGAAGGTGCCATACAAATACTAGCTATGATTATTATTTGAACCTTGCAACAAGACTGTAAAGGAGGCAGGGCAGGTATTTCCCCCTATTCATCTTCTTTTTGTACCTACCACAATCATCATCATCATCATCATCACCATTATTACCATCACTATGGTGAAGATGATCATCATCATCATCACCAACATCCTCTTCATCATCACCACTATCATCACCATCACCATCATCATTATCATCACCATCGCCATCATCTTCATCATCATCATCATCATCAACATTATTACCAACATCATCACCATCACCATCACCACCACCACCATCACCATCACCATCACCATCATCATCATCACCATCACCATCATCATCATCATCAACATGTTAACAGCTCACATTTCTATAGCTTTTATATGGTTTATAAATTCTTTGCTTTCTCCACTCTCCAGATTAGTGCAGATAGTGTTTTCTCCATTTTACACATATAGAAACTTGGACTCTGAGAGGTCACAGATAGATTTAGAGCTCGAAAGGACTTTAGAGATCATCTAGTCTAACCCCCACATTTTACAGATGAAGAAACTAAGGCCCCAGAGAAGTAATGTGATCTGTTCAGGGTCACTAAGGTAGTAAACAGCAGGACCAGGATTTCAAGGTGGGTCCTCTACTCCTTGTTCAGCGTTTTCCCCACTGGACTCCTTCTTGGATCCCTTGAAGGCTCAGTTCAAGTTCTGCTTTCCATGAAAGGTCTTTCATTTTTGTTTTGTCTTTGTATCCTGAGTGCCCAGCATAGTGCCCGGCACTTGGTGGACAATAGATACTTGTGAAATTGAATTACATCACACCAAATTAGTGACTTGCCCAGTGTCACATAGCTGGTGTCACTAGTGCCCCAAGACCAGAGTTCTTTCCATTATACCTTCTCCCATAGATCAATTCTTTCCAAAACCTCCATTTTGAGGAAGAGCCCAGACCAACCATGCTTCACTTTCCAGACTTGGTCATTGTGTTTCAGCTGCCTCCTCCCTCCATCCTTCTGACCTTCTTCTCCCATATGTGAGTTTTTCTCATTGGTGAGTTCTAAAATGAAGATTCTCTCCATTTTGAGGAAGGGCTCAAACCAGCCATCCTTCAGTTTCAAGGCTTTATGTTCATGCTCATACGCAAGGATCTTCCCTCCCTACCCTGCCTCTTTTCAGTTCCCTTTTGTGTTGTTTTCCTCCATTAAAATATAAGTTCCTTAAAAAAATAAAAGTTCCTTAAGGGCAAGGACTTTTTTTGCTTGTATTATATCAATAAGGCTTAACAAATTCTTGTTGACTTGACACTAGAACTGAGGTTCAAAGAAATTAAGTGACTTGCCCAAGGTCATACATCCGGTAAGTGGTAGAGCCAATTCTCTTTCATCTTTCTCTGGTGGCAAAGAAGTCCCATAAAAGAAGATGTCACAACCTTGCCTTGATCATATTCTATTATCTCTGAACCCTCAGCGTTAGGAAATCCTTCCATAGTCAAATCAATAAGCATTTATCAAGCCCTTACTATATGCTGGGCACTGTGCTAAGCTGGAAATACAAAAAAAAAGGGCAAAAGAAAAATAAAAGTCCTGTCCTCAAAGAGCTTGCATTTTAATGGGGGAAGATAACACATGAACTGAATGGGGAAAAGAGAGGGAAGGGAAGATACTACGCAGGCGCAGGCGCATAGGGAAGAAAAGTCATAGAGTCAGGAATGGAGTTTAGAGAAGAATGAAGTTAGCCTGAGCATTTTCTTTAAAGAGAGGTTCTGGGGGGAATTGACCAATCAGAGGAAGAGAGTGCAAGGGTGGAGTGATCTTCCAGGGTGAGAAGGCTTCTGTGACCTAGTGGAGGAAGTCCACAGAGTCAGTAGCAGAACCTAGAGAGGAATGAAAGGCTTTAAGCACTGACCCACACCCTCCATGCTACAATTAAAGCACAACTCTGTACTTGAAATGAGTGTGGTCCACAGGGATTAAGTGGGAGGAAGGTTAGGGTATAACTTTCCCAAGAAGCCCATAGACCTGGGCTGATTTTTTTTTTGCTTTTAACAATAGGAGAAAAAAAATAAAACAGGCAAGAAAGAAATGTTTCCCTCACCCTCCCTGAGAAATGGAGTTGAGTAGTGCTGACTCTGACACATGTCATAATGTGGGGACTAATTATAACTTGTCCTGTTCCAGTCACTGCTTTCTTGGGCTCTGGGGCATGAAGCCAAACTGAGCATTTAAGCCTGATAGTGGGCATTGGAGCAGCTATCACCAGATGCTGAGGACAGAAGCCTCTCCTTGGAAGACAGGAAACCTTCCCCCAGGGTATTATTGTTTGGGTTCTGAAATAGAAAGATGACTTGAAGATTCTTCTCCTGGGCTTCCTGATCTTCATTGGGAGCTGTTTGGGAGAGAGACGTGCTAACAAGATGGGGGGAGGCTCTTTAATGATATCTGAATGACAGCTAGATGGGCCATCATAAGGCCTGTGGGAAGAAGGGAGGGAGGAGGAGGGGGAAAAACCTTTGCCCAGCCCTCATTAGCTGGCAGCTGCTTCCCAGTCTCAGAAGCTTCCTCTAGGGAAAGGGATTTGGGCATTGTGCCAATAGTGATGGGGCACTTTATACTTATCTATGTGAAGAGGGGCAAGTTATTAGAGGCAGATAGATGGGGTAGTGGGTTAAGAATGTTGGACTTGGAATCAGGAAGGTGAATTCGAATCCTCCCTCAGACACTTACTAGCTGTGTGGTCCTAGTCAAATCATTTAACTGCTGCTTGCCTCAGTTTCCTCATTTGCAAAAAATGGTGATAATAATTGCATCTACCTCACAAAGTTGCTTTGAGGATCAAATAAGATAATATTTGCAAAGCTTTCAGCATAGTGCCTACTGAATAATAGGCACTTATTAAATACTTTTTTCCCTTTCTTTCCCCTTCCCATCCTACCTAGGCTTAAAGGAGAAAAAGAGCAAGAATGGGTGATAACAATAAGATTTCCTTCATG